TGTACATTCATGCAGGACATTGGTCTACAGTTTTCTTCATAAAATTTTTTATTAGGATATATTCATTACACGGGGGGAGGATTCATAGTGACAATTCTGATTAGACTTATATTGTACATTAGTTACATTGCCTCATTGACTCTCCCCCTCAACCCTCTCCCCATCCCACTTAAAGCAATTGCAAGAGGTTTCTTAGTTCTGTTTCATATAGGTATATGAAGTCCATCTACCATATACCATCACCTTAATCTCCTTCATTTGCCCTGTCCCCCCACCACTAGTAACCCCCCCCACTGTACCTATTTTACAGTCCTGTTTATGATTATTAATATTTGAGTTGTGTTCAAAGGGGTGTCTCAATGTATGCCCACTATGGGTGTGCTTTACTTTGGTCTGTTCAACCCCTTCCATTACTCTCCCTCATCCCTTTACCTCCTATTTCCCATTTTTCAGCAACTTTCAATGCATATTCTTATATCCTCTACCTTCACATCTTATGTTATGTGATATTAATGATGTTTTATCATTTTCTTTTCCTTTCCCTCTTTCCCTGAGTTCTATAGAGTAGTTCCATTATTACAGACATGTTCTACATCTGAGTTTGTATATGTTCACGCTTGTTTTTGTGTGTATGTTTATCTTTGGACCTGTCTTCCATGTGTGAGAGAAATCATGTGGTCTTTGTGTTTCTGAGCCTGGCTTACTTCATTTAACATGATGTCCTCCAGTTGTATCCATTTACCTTCAAACCATATGTCATTATTCCTTATGGCTGAGTAATATCCCATTGTGTATAAATACCACATTTTCTTGATCTTTTCCTCATGTGCACCTGGGTTGTTTCCAAAGCTTGGCTATTGTGAATAGTGCTGTAATGAATATTGATATACAGGTATCTCTATTGTATCCTGTCTTACATTCCTTTGGGTAGATGTCCAGGAGCAATATCACTGGATTATATGGCAGTTCTACCTTTAGCTTTTTGAGGAATCTCTACTGTTTTCCATATTGGTTGTACTAATTTGCATTCCCACCAACAGTGTCTAAGGGTTCCTGTTTCACCACATCCTTGCCAGCATTTGTTATTACCCTTGATTATGGCCATTCTAACTGGGTGAGATGAAATTTAGTGTTTTGATTTGCATCTCTTTTATCACCAGGGAAGTTGAACACTTCTTCGTGTATTTACTGGCCATTTGTACCTCTTCCTTTGAGAATTCCCTGTTTATGGACACAATTCATATCCATTTTCACAATGTTGATTGTATCAATCCAGGAGCATGGAAGGTCTTTCCATCTTCTGATGTCTTTGAGTTCTTTCTTCAGGGGTTTAGAGTTCTCATTAAAAAGGTCTTTGGTTTCTTTTGTTAAATTTATTTCAAGGTACTTTATTGTTTTTGAGGATATTGTAAGTTGGATTGTTTCCCTGATTTCTTTCTCAGTCTGTTAGTTGTTGGTATATAGGAAGGCTATTGATTCTTGTATGTTAATTTTGTGTCCTGCTACTTTGCTGAAAGAATTTATGATTTCTAATAGTTTTTTTTTTTAAGAGACCTCGTGGTGCAACGGTAGCACGTCTGACTCTAATAGTTTTTTTTTTTTGGATCTGGTTTTGGTTATCAGGATAATGCTGGCTTTGTAGAATGAGTTAGGAAATGTTCTGTCATTTTTTGAGTTGTGGAAGAATTTAAGAAGGATTGGTATTAGTTCTTTTAACCTATTTCCAGTGAGGTTATCTAGTCCTTTCAATCGTAAGGCCTTATGTTATTAGGTGAGGGTTCGTGGTATGTAAAGCAGGTGGGCTGTATTTGTATGTAAATGGATACAGTTTTTCTTTTTGGACTGTTTTGATGGTAATTGGATGTGTGAGAATTTGTTTGGCATGAGTGGATTTTTGAATCAATGAGTCACAGCCTAGTGTGAAGAAATAATCTAAAGGCTAACACACACAGAGGCCATCTTTGGCTCATTTATGAGACATTTCTAATGTTATAATCTTCTATTGAATCCCTATAATGAATTTTTCATAATGTATGACTCCATTCCAAACATTTTTATTTGGTTATTTCCATAATTTCTACTTTTTATTAATATTCACTATTTGATGAGACATCTCTCTTTGGTTTTTATGGTTTCTTTTAGTTCTTCTTTTTCTTCTTTATTTTTTCTTCCTTCAAGTTCAAGAGATTGAACCTGGGGCCTCATTCAGTCTAATCAAGTGCCCTACCATGGAGCTGTACCCCCAGCTCTCCTGTAGTTTTTTGTACATCATTTCTTTTAGCTGTCTGAATGTATCTTAACTGTTGATTTATTGTCTTTATCCAGTAAGTCTAATAACTGGGGCTCCTCATGGTCAGTTTCTATTAATTTTTTTTCTTGTGGATGGGCTTTCTTGTTCTTTGCATGTCACTAATACATACATTTATATAAAATATATTTTTGTTACATACTATATTTAAGTATGACAGTTTTAGAAATCAGATTCTCTCCCTTTCCTAAGATTTATTGTTGCTGCTTGTGTTTGCTACCATTTGTTAGTAACTTTTCTGAACTAATTTTCTAATTTTGTTTGTGTAGTCACTGAAGTCTCTGGATAGCTTACTCCATTTTTGTTGGAATTGGAGGCACATTCCTTAAGTGATTCTTGTGCATATTCTATAGTTCTCCCTGTGTCCTTTGGGGGAAGGAGGGAAAACCGCTTGTGAAGGTTAGGCAGTGGTTTTCCCACAGTAAAATATGTAAACATAATAGATATCCTAGCTTACATGTTCATGATTTTTGGTTGTATAGAAATAAGTGATTTTTAGGACATAGTTATGATGGAAATTATTTGTATACTACTTACTCTGTTCTAGAAACTTCATCTATAGTCTTTAATTCTCACAATAACCCTATGAAGTAAATGCTCTCTTACTCTCATTTTAAAGATAAGGAAGTTAAGGTACAGAGAGGTTAGGTAATTTACATAGTGTTACATAAATAATAAATGGTAAAGGCATGATTCAAAACCTACGGTAAGTCAATCTGTGTTAGAGTCTGTATTCTTTTTTTAATTTTTAATTTTTGGCAGTACTGGGGTTTGAATTCAGGGTCACTTGCTGGGCCAGCACTCTACCACTTGAGTCATCCACCAGCCCTAGAGTATGTGTTGTTTTTAAAATTTTCACTGAGTATTGTGGAAGTTTTCATACACAAATCAAAACATAAAATAATTAATGAGCTCTCCCAGGTATTTTTAACGCAGTCTTTACACTATTCTGCTTTTCTTGTTTTATCTATCTTTCACCAACTGTTTTTTATTGTTTGCAGTAAAGAATTTGGAAGCATATTCTAGATACCACATCATTTTGTCCATAAACAGTGAAATATATAAATAGATAATAACTTTAAAATATAATACAATCACAATATCAATATAGCTACAGTATAATCACAACCTTAAAAAGTAAAAAAAATTCATTTAAATCATCTAATATCTATTTTGTGCTTAGTTTTGTTTGTCTCACCAGTATATTCTTACAGTAGGCTCAGTTTAGTATCTTAGTGTACCTACGTTGTCTTTCATTTATAAAAATCTGTATTGATCCTAACACTGACCCTAACAGTCTTTTTATTATGTAACTTTAAAAATTATTTTAAAAATAATTTTATTTAGCTTACATTACTGAAGTAAATTTTCCAAAAGTATGAAACTTTCAATTATACTTCAATCCTTATTTGGATTTTATCTTTGTTTTTCTTTTTTAACTAATGTCCCTTTCTGTCCCAGTATCCAAGTCAGGATTGCATTAGTTGCTGTTTTCCCTTAATTTTCTCTGGGCTATAGTAATTTCTTGTTTTTCTTTTCTTTTCTTTTTGTAGTGGGGTTGAACTCTCAGGGCCTTGCAGGCACACTACTCCTTAAGCCACTCTGCCAGCCCTTTTTGTGTTGGTTATTTTTGAGATAGGGTTTCACTTTATATGCCTAGAGTGGCTTAAACAGTGATCTTCCTGTTTATGCTTTCCCACGTAGCTGGGATGGCAGACATACTCCGCTGCTATTGATTAAGATGGGGGTCTCTTGAACTTTTTGCCCATGTTGGCTTTGGGCCACCATCTTCTCTGTCTCTACTTCCCAAATAGTTAGGGTTATATACTTGAGCCCCCTTTCCCAATGACCATGCATTTTTTGAGTACAATGCCCAACATTTGATATATATATTTTTTCAGGATTAGATTGGGGTCATAAATTTCATGAAAAAGATACCATAGAGGTAAAGTTCTTTCTTAAATGATTTACTTTTGTTTTTCTTTCTTTTTTTTCTTTTTTGTGGTCCTGGGATTTGAACCCAGGCCTTGAAAATGCTAGGTAATTGTAGTACCACTGAACTACATCCCAGCCCTTTTTTTTTGTTTGTTTGTTTTTGTGGTACTGGGGTTTGAGCTCAGGGCCTACACCTTGAGCCACTCCGCCAGCCCTTTTTTGAGTTGGGTATTTTTGAGATAGGTTCTTGTGAACTATTTGCCCTGGCTGGCTTCGAACCTCGATTCTCCTGATCTCCGCCTCCTGAGTAGCTAGGATTACAGCATGAGCCACCAGCACCCAGCCTTTATATAAAAGTTCATGTGGTTCTAAGATCAAACTAGAAAACTTCATTTTCATCCCTGTTTCCTTCCATTGGTCTTTTTCTTCTTTTCCCCAAAGTTAAGCTTTTTTTTTTTTTTTATTAGTTTTTGGCTGGGCCCTCTCTTCCTCCCACTCTCTTTCTTCTTCTTCTTTTTTTTTAATATAAGCAAACACAAATACACAGGCACATGCTAGTATCCCAGTGTTTTCTTCTGTTCCTTTTCTTACACGAACGTAACATCAGTCTGTGTTCTTAGCTCCTGTACTTTGTTTCCAATAATGGGCACTTGCATTCAACAGTTTCTGTGTGAAACAGTTAATTTTTCACACTGATAAAAGCCTTTTCCTATGCCTTGAAAACATTTAGCACATACATGTTCCTTTTTATTTACAGATATTTTCCAATTTGTCCCTGGATGAACGTTGCCTTTCTGCATCGTTGGTTTGCAAGTACTGGCGTGATCTTTGTTTAGATTTCCAGTTTTGGAAGCAGCTGGATCTTAGTAGTCGTCAGCAGGTATGGAATTTGATTCTAAGAAGCACTGGGTTTCACCTACTCAATTAAAAAATATCTTCATTCCCCTTCAAAAATCCCTTCCATTTCCATACTTCTAATAATTACAGTCTATAATTTCATGCTTTCCTTAATGTGTGTGTATATATATATATGTACAAAATACATATATATATTTTGTGAATTCAAGGTAGAGCTAGGTTCTCTGGTGAACAGGATTATTTCCAGTATGGATTGATAATTTTGGCTTGCTTCTTAATCTGGTTTGTCTTCCCCTTTTTTCATTACCTTTTTAAAATCAGTAAACTTTTCCTTTTTAGGGGAGGTTGTCATTTATATAGCACTGCCTCTGTGTCATGTACTGTTGTGAGGGCTTTGTATATACTAATCCATTTGATCCTTTCAGCAGCTCTGTTAGGAGATACTATTATTTCCCCTGTTTTATGGATGAAGAAAAGGAAGTAAAATGAACTAAGATAACTTTTTAACACAACTTTCCTTTTGATGGATTTTCTAATTTTCCCTATTGCCGAGTTGCTCAATATGCTTATATGGTAGAATAAATTAGGAAAAAAAGATGAAGTTTATATTGCTTATTTCAAATAATTTGTGGGGGCTGGTGGAGTGGCTCAAGTGCCTACCAGGGTGAGGCCCTGAGTTCAAACCCCGGGACCACCAAAAAAAAAAAAAATCAAATAACTTGTTGGAATTGTTGGATTCACTCTTTAAATCTTTATGGTCAGTATTTGGCATTAGAAATATGTAAAAATACACAATAAGAATAGGATTGTTTTGTAATCCTAAACCTGCTCTAAATCCCTCCTTGGTATATTACTTGTGTACTGGTGTTTAACAACTGGTTTTCAAAAATGTTCTCATTTATAATATTTGCCAATTTCTGTGGTATAAATAATCCCCCCATCGTTAATCACAGGCTACATGTGACACCATTGGATTTAGATTTGAAAAGAAGGGCATGTAATAGCTTCTTGTGAGTTGGTACAAGCAAATTCCAACACACCATTGGTATTTTGAGCATATAATCCACACATTTTAAACATATTAAGCAACTTATAGAACATTTATGCATATGTTTTTCTCTTTCAGTTTTTCTACCTCATTGGTAAGTAATTATAATTATATAATTAGTTATTTACTTGCTTGGGTGTCCAATAAGAATGGTGAGAAGTCAGTTGTGGCTAGTAGAGTACAGAAAAGTTTGTTTGAAGTAATCCATTGACTCTGCTTCATTACTCTTGGCTGGCTGAACTGTTTACAATGAGCTCACAAAGAAAATAGCTTTTTTCTTCTGCTTGTAGTAAGGTCTGAAGATGGAAAAATTAAAATTAAAATGAAAGGAATGTCATAGTTTTAGCTTTTCAGGGAATGGTCTGCATTCATATTGTTTCCAGCAAACATAGATAGTTTCATTTTTGGTTCTTATTCCTACTGCTACTTAACACTCCAGTTTTTTTTTTTTATTTTTCCATTTAAAATTTTATATGCATTTTCTGTCTCCTTTATTTTTGCCCAGAGGACTTGAATACATTAGCTCTGTTTTCCTTTTTGAAATGTTATGATTGGGCAGGGAATATGTAGAAGCTAATTTTTTAAAATTCATATGGCTCTGAATTTTTTACAAGATGAGTTTTAAGGTTATTTATATTTGGCTTTGAATTTTTTAAAAAAAATTTTATTCTGGGAGTACATTGTGGCATTTACAAAAGTTCTTACAATATAACAAATATATCATAGTTGAATTCACCCATCCAACTTGAGTCAGGTTTTTTTGACAAGGACATTTCTCCTTAGTGTTTTGTTAAGCACAATAACGTGTTTTCTTAGCTGTGGATCGCATGTGAGGTAGATTTTTTTGTTTGCGTTTTTCTTTAGCAGTGCAAAGCTCTCACACTTAGTAAGCAGGTGCTCTATCACTGACCTACAATACCCACAGCTATGAGGCAGTGTTTTGATAGTAGTAAAACAATGGAAATTTATATACTGTAGTACTTACTATATGGTGTCAAGAACAAAAAATCAGTATGTACATCACTATAACTGATGTATACCTTTGCTAGAGTTTATAAATAGAGAAAAAAACATTTAAAATCTTTTGGTGAGCTTGAAGGTTCAGTTTAAGGGAGTTTTCCCAAAAGAGATAGATTTTTAACCTTTTAATGAAAACAAACACATGTACTCTTCCTTGATGTCATCACTTCTGACACTTAATGTATGGAGTTTCTTCTACATCAACAACTGATTCTCCAACACCAGTTGAGTGTCCAGCAGTTCAGTTCAGTTCTGATACTATCTCCTGGAATTAGTGCAGAACCCACAGGTTAAGGGTCTTACAAGATTGCCCCCACTTAAAATGTCAGTTGCAAGTCCCAGGAGCCACCCATACTTCTGATCAAATACCTATAAATTTAGGAGTTCCTCCAGTCGCATTCTTAGTTTTGATAATTAGCTATGGCTATTTACAGAACTTAGGAAAATATTTTACTTATATTTATTGGTTTATTATAAAAGATATAATTCAGGAGTAATCAGATGGCAAAGATGCATAGGGCAAGGTGTGTGTGGGGTATTCTACCCTACCAGCACTTTGATGTGTAATCTACCAACTCAGAGGGTCTTTGAGTCTCTTTTTGAAGAGTTTTTACCACTTAACCTCCAGCCCCACTAGAGGTTGGGGGAGGTGGTTGAAAGTTCTCATCCTTTAATCATTTATTTGTGTTTATGGTAACAAACTACATCCTGAAGCTATATAAGGTTCCACTTTGAGTCTGTACATTACTATAAACTCAGGTATGGTCTAAGATGCTTGTTACAAAAGACAGTATCCACCAGGAAATTAAAGGGTTTTAGGAGATCTGTGCTACATACTGGGAATAGGGAACAAATATATTTATATTTTATTTTATACCACAGTTCTTGTTATGCTTGAATATTAAGAAGGTTTTTCTTTTGATTGTGTTTTTCATGATATAATCTATTATTTGTTGGGAGAAAATTTATAAAAGAATAAAAACTAACTTTCTACTTTTAGCAAAAGTTCAAATTTATCACCTCTTTTTCTTTCATAGGTTACTGATGAATTATTGGAAAAAATTGCATCAAGAAGTCAGAATATAATTGAAATCAACATTTCTGATTGTCGCAGTATGTCTGATACTGGAGTTTGTGTTCTAGCGTTTAAGTGTCCCGGACTTCTTAGGTATACAGCCTACAGGTGTAAACAGCTCTCTGACACCTCTATTATTGCTGTGGCCTCTCACTGCCCTTTACTTCAGAAAGTGCATGTAGGCAACCAGGACAAACTTACAGATGAAGGACTCAAACAGGTAAATTTTAACATTTTTACAATATTTTGCTCATTAATTCATTTTGTAGCAATACTTTGAAAGGCTGTTATATTAATAATAATGCTCAGAGATTAAAGTGAGTCATCTTTTTATTACATGCCAATGAATATTTGTTTAAATTAGTGAGCTGCAATGCCATGGTTATAATTAGTAAATCAAGTTTGATGTGTTTTATAGTGAGTGCCTGAATTTTTGTGACCAGTTGTTTTATTAATTTATGATCTTTAAAACTTAATTGTGCTAGATTTTGCTTTAATTTACAATCCAGGGCAGTTTGGGTCAGCCTAAGGTTTTTTTTTTTTGTACCGGGGCTCAAGCCCAAGGCCTATACCTTGAACCACTTCACCATCCCTTTTTTATGATGAGTTTTTTCGAGATAGGGTCTCACAAACTATTTACCCAGGCTGGCTTTGAACTGCGATCCCCCTGATCTCTGCCTCTTGAATAGCTAGGATCGCAGGTGTGAGCTACCAGCCCCTGGCTTCAGCCCAGCATTTTAAAAATTAACTTTTAGTCTTCCTTTTACGTTACTTGATGACTTATTTAATGTGCTTTAAGATATCTAATTGTCTTAAGACATAGGAGGAAGTCCAAATTGATGAGTATAAAATGAAGAAAAAAGTAATCATCTATATTTCACCTAATAATTGTATTAAAAACAGATTTATACATGTTTTTTTCTGATATACTTCCTTTGGAAATGGCACTTTCTTTGGAAATGGCTCAGAGTGTGGACTGCTCATTCAACAAATGAAGATCCTTAAATTTAAACATTGTATGAATTAATCGAAAGATTAATATTAGAAGAAATTTGGGGATACCATCCTAAATAGTGACTGAATGTGTCAGTTCAATTTATATACTAAGAATATTACCAAGTTGGGTGCTGGTGTAATCCTTGCTGCTTGAGAGGCTGAGATGGGGAGGACTGAGGTTTGAGGCTAGGCCAAGCAAATAGTTTGTAAGACCCCCTCCCCCCATCTCCAAAAATAACCAGAGCAAATGGGCTGGAGGTGTGGCTCAAGTGGTAGAGTGCTTGCTTTGCAAGCACAAAGCTCTGAGTTCAAACCTCAATCCCACCAAAATAATAAACAGACAAACAAAAAGATAACAAAAACAGAATGTTACCAATTTATAAGGGAGCCTATTTCATTGCAAAGGCAAGTTGTGCAGTAACAGTCTTATTTGTTTTAATATTTTTTCTTGATCTATTTCTGCTATGTCAGAATGACTCACTAGCAAAGCATTTTATGAAGTTCTTAAACCTGCTAAAACAAACTGATCTTTTATGGGGAATTATAGATTTTATAGACATAGGATGATTTTATTTGATAGGATTTTTGATAGGATATTTGATTTGATATTTGATAGGATATTTGATAGGATTTCTTAGCATTTTATATTTCACAATGAAACATTTTTAAAAGGTCTATATATTTATTAAGATCTGGATTAAATGTGTTATATATTTAAGCCTCATGTAACACAAATAGATACCAGTTTAGCAGATTGCCAAGGGTGTTGTTAGTAATATTTGTGAGGAACAATAAGATTGTACTATGGTTGAAGTAGAGGGAAATTACAAAGTTTTCTAAGGAGCAAAACAGCGTGATAATTAAGTATTACGAATTTTGTAATTTTGAAACTCACTATGTAAGTCTTCCTTAGAACATGAGGTAGTTTTAGAGCTTGTTAACTTACTTAGATTAGATGTTCACTTCCCCTTCCCCTCCTGTGCTCTCTCTCTGTCCTCTTTTCTTCTCCCCCTCTTCTTTCTTCTTCTTCATTCTTCTTCTTGTACTGGAGTTTGAACTCAGGGTCTCGTGCTTGCCAGGCAGGTACTTTACCACTTGAGTTACATCCTCAACACCCCTCTTATTTTCTTCAGTAATTATGTAGGCATCTCCTTGAAGTATCGAGAGTAACGGTTTCCTGTTTTTAACATTATGCTGTAACAAGTGTGTCCTCTTTTAGACTCTTTATTCTGATGGAGTAATGCTATGTGTATAGTAGAAAAAGAGAATGGCTTTTCTATATACATAAAATAGAAATAGCTTTATGAAGCAATATATACCCTTCTGTACAATGCACATTGATATTATCTATTTTATTCTTTATTTTATATTAAATAAATTTTGGCCTGACTCACTTACTAAATTAATTTTATAACCTAGTGATATTTGATAAACCCTGCCTTGGAGTATATTTTGTATTTCATAAACTAACAACTTTAAGATGTATAATAAAGTAATAAAAGCCTAGAATGGTACTATCCATAACTGATAAATTTTTCTGGAATTTATTATTTTTTTCTTGAACTCAGAAACTTAACAATTGACTTGTTGATTCTAAAGATCAAGTTTTTTCCCCTTTTCTGTCAGTAAGAACTGATAGATGTTTTAGAATGGTAAATATGTGTTTTAGTGATAACAAAATACATGTAACTTAAAAGATATTTCCTTCATAAATGTATAATTTTGATTGGCTAGCAAATACCAAATATGTGTGCTTTTTGAGTTCTTTTAGTTTGTTTGGAGTTCTTATATATCTAGAATGTTAGAATGTAATATTTTAAGTATTGAATTCTGCTTAATAAAGTTAAAGGGGGAGAAATGGCCCAAACAATGTATGCACATATGAATAAATGAATAGATTTTTTAAAAAAGGAAAAAAATAATGTTAAGGTGAAGTACATAAAAGTTATACTGTTTTTGATCAAACATTTCTTCTTTGCAAAATACCAACTACTGAAGTATTTACATTTTTCCCCATTTTTATTAGGATATATTCATTGTATAGGGGGGATTCATTGTGACAATTCTGAAAACCTTACATTGTATGTGATTAGATTGCCCAACTATTGATATTTTTATTCCATAAAAGTCACCCCAGATAGTTTTGTCAGTGGAACAGCTTTACTGCTGGAATATGTGTTTATTTTACACATCTTATAAAACTATAATCATGTGTGGCGGGGTGGGGGGGAAGAGCCATGTGATTGAGAACAGTAGACTGTTTTAGTTTTCATAATATTTTGTTGTCATTTAACATTTGTCTTCAAATAGCCATAACCAAAGCATTAAAATAAATCTAAGAGATTGTATCCATTAAATTATTGTTTTATGTGACTTATTCTCATACCTCAATCTAATTCATGGAGTTCAGTAGAGATTTCTGGAAATGAGTCATTGTAGGCCCTTTTCATATTAAATGTTCCTTAGTAAATTTCAATCTGGCCATAGTATGAATTTTTAAATCTTTAAAAATAAATATTTAGAGTGACATCAGCAAAATGTTGTAATAGGCAGCTCTAAAACCCTCTTCCATAGAAACACTGAAAAACAAGCCAGAACTATCAAATCCAACTTTTGCAGAACTCTGAAAGACAAAGGGTTACAACAACCAAGGGAAGATTGGACCAAAAAGGAACAGCTAAAATGTGGAAGGAATGTGCCTGTGACTTTATTTACCTGTGCCCAACACTCTTCCCAGCTTGGCAGTAATCACAAAGATAGTAGCCTGAATTGCTAGTGTGGGAATACCACTAAAGAGACAGAAATTATGAAAGAAACAAATCAAAATTCTGCAGCTGAAAAGAACAATGTAAAAAAAAAAGTGTAGTAGAGGATTCAGCAGAATATGGGAGCAGGCAGAAGAAAGAATCAGTGAATATGACAATGGAACAATTGAAATTACTGAGTCTGGGAAGCAGAAAGCAAAAAGAAGAAAAATTAACAGAGGTGGCCTAAAATACCTGTGGGACACCATCAAGCAGAACAACATTACATTATAGTATTCCTATAAGGAAAAGTGAGAAAGGGTCAGAAAAAAAATTATTGAAGAAATAAGGGTCAAAACTTTCTAAATTTAATGAAATATACAAGTCTATATATCCAAGAAGCTCAACAAACTCAAACTGGATAATTTCAAAAAGTTCTACACTGAGACACATTATAGTTTGTTAAAATCCAGTCCAATGAAAGCAGAAGCAGATGAATTACTCCTTCACATACAAGATTAACAGCTGATTTCTCATCAGAAACCATAGAACCCAGAAAATAATGGGATTATATATTTGAAGCCCCAAAGAAAAAGTCAAATAAGAATTTTGTATCTGTCAAAACTATTAGAATGAGATATCATTAAGATACCTCAGATAAGCAAAAGCCAGGACCATTTGCTACTAGTAGAAGGACCATCCAAAAAATGCTAAGGGGAGTATTTCAGGCTAAAATAAAAGTTCACCAGGGAGTAATGCAAAACTATGTGAACAAAAATGAACTGTGGTAAAGGTAACCACACAAAGGTTGTAGTACAAAGATAGAGAAATGGAAAAATATATTTCATGCAAATAGCAACCAAAACAGAACTAAAGTGGCAATTTTATCAAACAAAGTAGACTTTTTTTTCCTGGTGGTATTGAGATTTGAACACAGAGCTTTGTGCTTGCTAGGTAGGTGCTCTGCTGCTTGAACTACGTCTTCATTTTGATCTGGTTATTTTGGAGATGGGATCTTGTGAACTGTTTGTTCAGGTTGGCCTGGAACAGAGATCCTCCAGAACTCAGCCTCCTAGACGTGAGCCACCAGTGTCTGGTGCCCTCTTCATTTTTGTCATAGGGACTTGCTTTTAGCTCAGGCCAGCCTGGACCCTGATACTTCTATTTTACATGTCCTGCTGTAGCTGGGATGATAGGTTTACACAACCATGTTTATTTATGGGATGGGGGTCTTGTAAATTTTTTGCCTGGGCTGGCCTCTAAATGTGATTCTCTCAATTTTAGACCCCCAAGTAGTTGGGATTACAGGTGTGGGCATGGCTCAAATAGATTTTAAGTCCAAAAAAATTTGTAAGAGACAATGATAGTCCATCAGGATGATATAACAATTATAACTATATATGCGTCTAGCAACAGAATCTCTATGCATAGCAAAAAATTGAGAGATTTGAAAGATGAAATAGGCAGTTCTTTATAGTTG